ACTCCTTGTCACTTGCCCTAATTTGTTTTCATTATGAACTCATTACTGGCTGAAGTTTGGATTTACTTGATTGTCTATTGCCTCCATTTCTGTGAGCTCCAGGAGGGCGGGGACACTGTCAAGCCCCAGCACCTGCTCAGTATCTTGCCTTTATGGGCAGGGGATCCAGACATATCTGTTGAATGAATTAACTTCTCTTGCCTTTTAGCATTCTGCATATGCTGTTCCCCCAGCCTGGAATGTCCCTTCCTACTGCTTTTACCAAAGGTGCTGTCTTAGTTATCAAGTGCTGCTATAACAGAAATACCACAAGTGGATGGCTTTAAAAAGCAGAAATTTATTCTCTCACAGTTTAGGAGGCTAGAAGTCCAAATTCAGGGTGCCAGCCCCAGGGGAAGACTTTCTCTCTGTCGGCTCTGAGAGAAAGTCTTTGTCATCAATCTTCCCTTGGGTCTAGGAGTTTCTCAGCGCTGGGACCCCAGATCCAAAGGATGCGCTCTGCTCCTGGCTCTTCTTTCTTAGTGGTAGGAGGTTCTTCTCTCTCTGCTCACCATGCTCTCCTTTTATCTCTCATAAATAAAAGGTGAGGCAGGCCATACCCCCAGGAAATTCCCTTACCTGGGATCAGGGCTGTGACCTGAGTCAGGGTGTTGCATCTCACCCTAATCCTCTTTAATATAACCTAATCTTGCCTCATTAACCACAGGCAGAGATTAGGATTTACAACACATAGGACAGTTACATCAGATCACAAAATGGACCACCACACAATACTGGCAGGACAACCACACAATACTGGGAATCATGGCCAAGCCAAGCTGACACATATTTTGGGGGGACACAATTCAAACCATGACAGGTGCCCAGAAGATGGGTTAGAAGGCAGGGTTGGAATGGAACAGGGTTTGGAGCATGAGCTTTGATCAGATTGGGGGTTTAAATCCAGGATGTTACTTACCAGCTGTGTTTTAGTCTAGGTTCCCCCCAAAAGCAGACCCTGAGGCAAGCCTGGGAGTGCAGGTAGTTTATCTGGGAGGTGATCCCAGGAAGAACAGGGGTGGGGTGGGGAAACAAGGAAGGGAAAGCAGCTAGTAAAGGTGAGCTAATTAGCAGATTTCCCCATTGGGCAACTGAGGCTCAGATCCATTGGGGAGCTTTGGGAGGCTGCGTAGATCTGCACCAAATCCTGTCCTTCACTGGTCAAGGGCTGCTCCTAGAGGTGTCAACTACCTGATACTTTATGTGTATATATACATGTATATGTTGTTGTTGTGATCTGCTGTCAAGTTGCCCCCGACTCAGAGTGACCCCATGCACAACGGAACAAAATGCTACCCAGTCCTGTGCCATCCCCATGATTGATTGTAGATCAAACTGTTGTGATCCACAGGGTTTTCACTGGCTGATTTTTGGAGGTAGATTGCCAGGCCTTTCTTCCTAGTCTTAGTCTGTAAGCTCCAGTGAAACCTGTTCAGCATCATAGCAACACACAAGCCTCCACTGACAGACTGATGGTTGCTGTGCATAAGGCACTGGCCAGGAATCGAACCCTGGGTCTCCTGCATGGAAGGTGAAAATTCTACCACTGAACCACCGCTGCCTCAAAAAGTTAAACATGGAACTACCATACGACCCAGCAATTCCACTCCTAGGTATGTACCCCAAAAAACTGAAAGCAGGAACACAAACGGAAACCTGTACACCAATGTTCATTACAGCGCTATTCACGATAGCCCAAATGTGGAAACAACCTAAATGTCCATCAACAGATGAATGGATAAACACAATCTGGTATATACACACAATGGAATACTGCTCAGCCATAAAGAGAAGCGAAGTCCTGACACATGCTACAACGTGGATGAACCCTGAAAACATCATGCTGAGTAAAATACGTCGGTCACGAAAGGACAAATACTGTATGATTCCACTTACATGAAACAGGCAAATGCATACAGACCAAAGCTTATAACTAGTGACCAGGGGTGGGAGGGAGGGGGAGAGGCGGACTTATTGCTTAGGGGAACTGACCTTCTGTTAATGGTGGTGGAATAATTGGGAAAAGGACAGTAGCAAAGATTGCACAACTTGATGAACGTAAACGGTGTGACTGAATTGTACATGTAAACATTTTTGAATTGGCAAATGCTTTCTTAAATACATATTAACCACAGTAAAAAAAGAAAGAATGGGATGGTTATACGTGTGAGATTTCACTAAGATGATTTGTACACAGTGCTCGGTGCAGCTCAGCAGAGTGAGAGCAATCCTAGTGGTTACTGTTAGCCTGTTTCTTTGGGATTCAGCATGAGAATCTCTCCCCAAACTCTCTAGGCAGAAATACGCGCTTCCCACAGACCTTCCTCATACAAGGATCATAATTCCTCCCAATAGACCTAGGGTGTAAAGTAAAATTTCCTAACATGGATTTTGATCAAAATACAACCTCGCTTCTCCCTCTGCCCCTTGAAAGCTATTCTGTGGTGGCATCTTGCCCTGTCCCTGGCTGAGAATGCTGAAAGACCCAGGGGTCATGTCGGTGTCATGTTCAAACCTTTGAACTTGCTTGACTTGGTGTTGGATGGGCCTCCGGCTCAGGACTCTCCAAGCTGGAGGCCTGGGTGGGGAAGAGGGGCCGGTTCCTCTGCCATGCACTCTCTTCCTGCCCCCTCAGCAGCCTCTGGAACCTTCTGCCCATGCCAGCGTGTACACGGAGGAGGGGTTAAGGGGACAGGGCAGCTCCTCCTTGGCTGGTGGCTTCACTCTGGGTGATCTGGCAGAGGGTTAAAGAGGTGCCCTGGGTGTATTTGGGGGGTACATGAAGCTCTTAGGTATTTTCAGGGCTCTTTGGGGCCTCCTCTCTCATAGACCCCCTCGCTGGGGTGGGGACATATTTGACCTGGGAAGTGGCTCTTCCCTCAGTCCCTGGTGTCTGTCCTACCCTCTAGAATCTTTCTGCAGCGACCTCCTCACGCCCTCAGTGGGCCTCCTGACCATCCTGGGCGTGCAGGCCAAACTCCAATGAAGACACCAGGGTTCCACCATTAGAGCCGCCTGCCTCTTGCCTCTGGTTTCCTGGGGACTCAGATCTCAGCCCCCTCAAGCCTTCTTGGGCCAGAGCCAGCCCGAGTCCTGGGTGTTCTTTCAAGGACACTTCAAAGGCAGTGAAACCCTCTTTGGGCTCTGGGTTAGGCCTTCTCCCAAGAGGGTGGGATTGGGACTTGCAGGTAGCAATGGCTCCCCTGAAGAAGTGTCTTCACCCACCCATTTCTTACTCCCTCGACCTTGAAAAGGCCTTTTGTTCTGGAGAATTCCAAACAGAGCCAACAGTAGAGCTCACATGTGAGGAATCTGCGTCATCCACAGTTCTCAGGGCGATCCTGTCTCATCTCTACCCTTGCACCACACACCTTCCCCCATACCAGGCCAGAAGCAGTTGCCAGTGGGTCAGTTCTAACTCATAGCAATCCTGTGTGTCAGAGCAGAACGGTACTCCGCAGGGTTTTCAAAGGCTGATTTTTTTGGAAGTAGATCGTCAGATCTTTCTTCTAAGGTGCCTCGGCGGACTTGCACGCCCACCTTTTGGTTAGCAGTCAAGCGCATGAACTATTTGCACCACCCAGGGACCCCCATATGCACCTCGATTGCTTTAAAGCACATTCTAGACATCATGCTTCCTGATGCCTTTTCACATCGTTCATCTAGCTGGGGGTTTCAGCGTGGGGCACCAGGTTCTGGATGATTTCCTTTGAAAATCCATATGGGCAGCGGTTGGTCTCACCCTGTTTCCTGTCGACGACTGAGCCGCACTTTTACCCTAGTTTGACTGTCTAGGTCACTTAGCCTGGGCTGCACGCTGTCAGGACAAGCTCTCAGCATTAGGTCCCAGAGCCCCCAGGTGCTGGGCAACAGGCACACCTGAGGCAGGTAACAGCTTCAAGTGGCGTTTCCTGCCCAGCCTCACCACCTCTTTACTCATTGTTTGGCTCCAAATGGCTTTGTCTTTCCTCACTTAGTCAAATCTGGTGCTTTAAAGATCCAAGTTTCCGTCCACTGAGGATTTCCAAAGGATGTGCGTAAGCTCTGGAGGCACTTGGAGAAGCATTCCAAAGTTGTTTCCTGCAAGGGAACCCGGGGCGTTGCTGTGGCTACCTGGTCTAGCTGGGCCCACAACGCACAGAAGCACGCTCACAGCTGCTTAGTCTCTGTTACGATTATTAAGCAAATTAACTCGGGAGCACACAACAGCAGACTGAAGAATTAGGATACTGGTTTAGGTGTTTTTAGAAATGTATTTATTAGCTTGTTTATTGTGGCCCACTTGTTTTTCTGACTCCCAGGGGAAACCATTGTGATAAAATTTCAGGTCTTCAGATCGAGATTACATGTGGCATCGAGCCTGCACTCTCCAACTGAAGGGCTGTGCAAACGGGACCACAAATCCTCTCTGGGACGACTGTGTAGGATAACTGTGCTTGGGAGACAAGCCAGGCGTTGGTTCCTGGGAACTAATGGCGCCCACACTCCTCTGTGTTCGCCCGAGTCAGTGACTCACCAAGTTAATTCTGGGCAATTTCTATAACAGTCCTGATGGTGCTTTCAAAGAAGACTGCAAGCCCCTTGAGAAAATAAGGACCTGGAGGTGCCTGGAACCAGGGAAAGAACCCAACCTGCCAAATGCAAGTAATCACAATGAGCAAAACGGCAAGGAGCCATTCTCTATTTTTCCCGACACTCTCATTAAAAAATAAAATTTTTTTTTTTTTTTTTAAAAAAAGGGAGAGATAGGGCAGGAGCTTGTTGGCACTCTCTGCAGAGTTGCTCTGTCCTTCTTGTGACGCCTGCTCGACAGCTCCGTGACCCCGGCTTCCTCCCTCGTAGGGGGTGCCAGGCTCCCAAGTCTGCCAGGGCCTCCTCGGCCTGGCTCAGAGCAGGCACCTGGCATCGAGGGTGATGCAGAAGGACGGCGGCCATCAGGCCCTGGCTGGGCATGGCGGGACTCAGGGGAAGTCACCATAGGGCAGGTGGAAGGGGTAGAGGGGCGTGTAGCGCGAATCATGCCAGAGCAGCTTCTCCTCCAGGAAGACGATGGTGCGCAGGGTCAGGACCAGGGTCTCGTGCTTGAGCATGCTGTACACGTTCAGGCCTGGGGGGTGGGCCGAGGTGGGGTCAAGGGTGTGGTGGGTGCCTCCTCCCTGACTCCCATCCCCGCCTAGGAAAGCACCCCTCCTGGTCTAGCGGTTCAAAGTGTGGGTACAGAAGCCCAGCAGCCTGGGTTTAAATCCTGGCTCAGTCGCTCGTAACTGGCAAGACTCTAGGCAAGGGGCTGTCCTTAGTTCATCAACTGCTGATTGGCTGAGCCCCCCCCACCCTTCCAGGATCCACTGAGCTCGGCCAGGATCTCTGCCCTACATTCCAGTCGGGAGACACAGATGATCAACACAGCCAGCGGACATACCATGCGCTGCACCGGAGGGGCGGGGCGGGCAAGGGCAGAGCGGGGGTGGACAGGGTGAGCAGGGGGTGGGCCGGTGGTGCAGGTCCCCACAAGCAGCAGGAAGGACTTGGGCTTTTACCCCAAGTGAGGTGGGAGCCATGGAGGGTTCTGAGCAGAGGAGAGATGGGCCCTGACTCAGGTAATCACAGGTGCCCTCTGTGGGGGCAGAGCGTGGGTATCTGGGGGCCAGGAGGAGGTGACTGCAGGGTTCAGGTGGGAGACAGTGGGGGCTGGACCAGGGTGGTAAGAAGTGGTCGGATTCTGGACATGTTTACAGGCAGCCCCGATAGGCAGGGTGGAGGCAAGGAGTCGAGGAGAGTCAGTTTCAGACCTGAGCCACTGGAAGGAAGGAGTCCTGTGTTGAGATGAAGAAGGCTGTGGAAAAGGTGGCCTGAGAGTCAGGGGGGCGGGGGGGTCAGGACTCAGCACTGGACATGGCTGAGATGCCTGTATGACTCCCTCGTGTAGCTGTCCAGGAGGACACACAGAGAGGCCTGGGACAGGTCAATGTGGTGACAGGTGTGACGTGCTCAGGACAGACCGACGACTGGGGCCTGCCCTGCCCCTGGCTTTCCACCTCTCTCTGAGTGAGAACAGCCAGCAAGCCTGGCACTCACGCCATGCCCGGCACTGAGCTGGGAGTGTTCACACAACATGACCTCGTGGCATCCTCAAAGCATTCTTAAGAAAGACACTCTTCCCCCAAGAGTACATTCGGGGAAGCTGAAGGACAGAGGGTGGTTACTGCCCAAGACCACTCAGCCAGAGTGTGACGGGTGGATGATGGGAACTGGCCGGCATCCCTGAGCGCCTGGCCCACACGTGCACCTGAGGCCCCAGGGGTAGCTCACCGACAGCTGGGATCAGGTTGAAGGTCTTCAGCCTGGAGGTGGCCGACACCACATTCTGTGGCATCTCCTCGTGTGCTCTATAACAGAGGCCGGAGGTGAGCCCCACAGAGACAGATACTCCGTCCCCCCACCTCCCCACTCTGCCCTGTGCCTCACAAGTCCACGAGGAGCACGGAGTCCCCCCAGCGGCGGTACTGGGCCAGCTCCGTCAGGTACCGGGGTTCTGGGGTTGGCAGCTCCAGGGAGTCCACGATGTGCAGGTTGTCCTGGCGGGAGGATAGGATGGTCTGAGCCCCCACACCCCAGGCTCCAGGGCCCTGTGGGTCCCAGAAGGATTGGGGCACGGGCTGTACCTGGGCCAGCTTGACGGTCAGCGCCACCTTAAGGCCCAGCACCCGTACTTTCATAGGCAACATGTAGTAGTAACTCGTGGGGCCCCGGGGGCCATGGGCAATGCCTCCTGTGGGGACAGAGGTATGTGAGCAGGCCAGGCCACAGCTGGGCTTGGAGGCCCGAAATTCACCCTGGTGGCTGGTGTACGGTGGTGGAGAGGAGGCTGGGAGGAGCCAGGCTGAAGGTCAGCAAAGAGGGAGGGGCCTCAAGTAAGGATGGAGGGGAGACTGGATCAAGTGTCACCTGGGACAAGTGACTTCACCTCACCGGGCCTCAGTTTCCACAACTGTCAAACCCTGAGATCTGATGGTTCCCACCATATAACACTCCATGAGTTACGGCATAGAACACGTAAAACAGCAAAGTGTGACCTTAACTATTACAGACTGCATAAAACATCACAGAGCGCGAGCTTAATTATTAGCATAAGCTGTTAATGCTGTGATTATTAATAAGTTAAAACCTTCCAGGTCTACAGGGGAGACAGGCATCAGGGACATGAGAGCTGAATGGGTCTTGGGAGCACTGGTGTCAGGAGAGACGCCCTGGCGAGGACCGTCTGCTGGTGTGTCCACTCTCTGCTGGGCCCCGGGAGGGCAGCAGGGAGCAACACAGACACAGTCCCTCTCCTCACACTGTTCGCCTTCTGCCAGGGCAGACAGACGCTGGACCTACAGCAGGAATCAGGGCTGTGAGGAGCAGCACACGGGGCTGTAGGGGGCCCAGAGGAGGTCAGGAAGGGCTTCCTTGAGGAGGCATGGCCCAAACAGACACCTGAGCTATGAGGGGACCTGGCCGGGCAAATGGGAGACAGACTCTAGTCAGCTCAGTCTGGTCAGAGAGGGCATGGCATCTGCAGCTGCCAGGGCCTCGAGTGCCAAGGCAGGGAGCGCAGACTTCACGCAAAGGCCATGCGGAGCTGGGACTTTTAGGAAGATCCCTCTGGTTGCTGTGTGAAGGGTAGCCCAGGAGAGATGGGAGGCGGTGGCCCAGATGGGCTGTGGCCATGGTCTGTTGAGAGAGGCCGAAGCCTGAGCACTGGGGTAAAGAGGCAGTGAGGTCTATGGGCCTGAGTCCTGATGCCTCTGCCAGCTGGGGTGCTGAAGTGGCAAAATGGTGCTGACAAGGTATCCGAGACTCCAGATGTGGGCAGCCACGTGTGAAGAAACTCCCAGACACTGCACTTGAGCCCTCCTTGCCCTGCCTGCTTACCTCCTCGCCAGATCGGGGAGCGGATGCTGCCATGCCGGGCACGCCCACCGCCTTTCTGCGGCCAGGGCTTCCGGCCACCACCCTGCACCTCAGCCCTAGTCTTGGTCTTGGCGTAGCTCTGTGGGTGCAAAGTAAGAAGGGGTCATGTCTGTCAGACAGATGTCGAGTAGCTGCTGGGTGCCAGGCCCAGGGACACAGCAGTGAGTTGGACAGACCGGTCCTGCCTGGGAGGAGCCAGAACCAAGGCACGGTGATTTGGGGAGGAGGGGAGATAAAGGAATTAAGAGATTTCCCCCACACGCTCTAAGTGTCTGCCTCACAAAAGCAGTGCTCTGCTGCCTAGCATACAGTAGGTGCTCAATGTTTTTGGAATGATTTTAATGTGGCTGCACCTGAAAGGAAGGCAAGGCATGGGAAAGATGTGGCTAGAGAGCATCAGAGATGAGCATAGGGGGGGTCACAAGGAGCTTCAGACGCTGGGCTGAGGGGAGCCAAGGAGGATATGTGCAGGGGGAGGACACGCTGGACCTCTGGGGTGGGCAGGCGGAAGGCAAAGATTGATAACAGCTTCTCCAATGCTCTTGGCATAAAATCCAAATTCCTCACTGTCCTCCCATTGACCTCCATAGCCAGGCTGGGCTCCTTTGGGTCTCTGCCACAGGGCCTTTGCACATACTGTTCCCTCTACCCCCATCTCAGTTCCATCATCCCCTTTACTGGTTAATTCCTACTGCAGACCTGAGGTTAAATGCCATGAGGGCCGTGAGGGACAACACAAGAGGTTGTGGGGGGCCCAGAGGTCAGGGAGGGCTTCCTGGAGGAGGCATGGCCCAAACATCCACCTGAAGGACAAGGGGAGCTGGCCAGGCAAACGGGAGATGGACTCTAGTCAGCTCAGTCTGGTCAGACAACGTGTGGCATCTGCAACTGCCAGGGCCTTGAGCATCAAGGCAGGGAGCACAGACTTCTTGCAAAGGCCATGGGGAGCTGGGGCATTGGACAATTTCCTATAAGTACTGATTTACAGGCATGACTACTTGATTCCTGTTCAACCCTCCCACCAGACTGAGAGCTTGAGAGCAGGACCCTTGCCTGTCTCATCCACTGCCATACCCTCTCACCTAACACAAGGCTGGGTGCAGTGGTTGCTCAGAAAATGCCTGGCAAATGACTCATCAGTGACCAGCTCAGCAGAGAGGAGATGAGGCCTGGGCTGAGCAGCACAGAGAAGACACAGCATGAGGCTTCCTCGCCTCCTGCTCCCTCTACCCTGCAGAAAGCTCCTTCCTCCCACCTCGCCCCACTCAGGGCACTCACAATTCTCCTGAAGTTCTTCTGCCAGATGGCGACCTGGTGCAGGATGTCCAGCCTGTGGGGAAGGAGGGAGACATGAGAGGAAGCTCTGCCTCTGCTTAAAACCCTCCCACAGCTCCCCACCCAGTGATGGAAAGCCAGGCTCCTCCCTGCAGTCCCGGGGGCCCTGTGCCATCTGACCCTGGCCCTCTATGGCCCCATCTTGTAGCCATTCTGGACTTGTGAGATGGGGTCCAGCCTCAAGGCCTTTGCACTTGCTGTCCCTTCTTCCTGAAACACTCTTCTCCTGCTGGTTCCTTCTCAGCCTACAGATTTCAGCTCAAACAATATCTCCGAGAGAAGTCCCCCTTCCTCCTTCTCACAGTACTTTTTTCCTTCTCTATCATTACAACTTACTTAGCGCCGCCTTTTTTATGGACTAGTTTGTCTTTCTAGTTCTGTGCTGTCCAACATGGTAGACACTGGCCACGTGTGGCTACTGGACACCAGGAAAGTGGCCAGTGCCACATACCAAGTAACAATACTTTAGATATACTGGGTTAAATAGAATATATTATTGAAATTAATCCCAGCTGTTTTTTTTTCTACTTTTTAAAACAGGGCTACTAGAAAGTTTAAAATTATACACACAGCTCACATTACATAGCTACATTGCATACGGCTGCCAGCGTGGTTTGCCACTATGGCCCATATGCCAATCCGGCCTGCTAACTGTTTTGTAAATATTTACTTACAAGGTTTCATTGGCTTAATAAAGTCATGCTCATTTGTTTATGTATTGTCTACGATTCAGTGGCATCGGGTTTGTTTTTTTATGATTGCTTTTGCACTACGGTAGCAGAGATAAGTAGTTTCAACAGTGATTTCACAGCCTGGAAAGCCTAAAATATTTGCTATCTGGCCCTTTATGGAAACAGTTTGCTGACCCCTGCTCTGGACTAAAAGCAACGAACAACCTTGGTGCCCATTCACTGCTATATTCCTGGGACCTAGCACACAGTAGGTGTTTCATAGATATTTACAGAGTAAATTAAAAAATCTGTTTTTAACTTTTTTGTCATCTTCTGTTGGATTGGAAGAGGGCATAGTGGGTCAGTAGTAGAATTCCTGCATTCCATGCAGAAGTCCCAAGTTAGATTCCCACCCAATGCACCTCATGTGCAGCCACCACATGTCCGTCAATGGAGGCTTGTGTTTCTATGATGCTGAACAGGTTTCCGTGGAGCTTCCAGACTAAGACAGACCAGAAGGGAAAGGCCTGGAGATCTACTTCTGAAAATCAGCCAATGAAAACCCTACAGATCACAATGGTCTGATCTGCAACTGATCATGGGTATGGTGCAGGACCCGGCAGCATTTTGTTCCATTGTGCATGGGGTCACCATGAGTCAGGGCCGACTCAATGGCAGCTAACAACAACCTTAGATTGGAACTCTGTTAAGGGTGGGGACCAAACCATACAAATACTAACTAATAATTTAATAGGATTTATCATGTGCCAGATACTATGCACGTGAGAAGCATCATACACCTCAGTGAATGACAACCTGGCCCTGGAGTTGCCTTGCACAGGTTGAGATCATGGCTCTATTGCTTACAAACTGTGACCTTGGGCAAGTTACTTAACCTGTGTGTGCCTCTGTTTCTTTATCTACAAAATAGAGAGAAAAGAACCCCTTCTCTGAGGATCTACTTAACTAAATTATAAATAGGCTGTGCAAGGTACATAGTGAAAGAGCCCTGGTGGCACAGTGGTTAAACACTCAGCTGCCAACTGAAGGTTGGCAGTTCGAACCCACCAGCTGCTCATTGGGAGAAAGACGTGGCAGTCTGCTTCCATGAAGATGGCTGCTGTTGTTGTTGTTAGCTGTTGTCAAGTCGCTTCCTACTCATAGCGACCCTATGCACCACAGAAGGAAACAATGCCCGGTCCTGTGCCATGCTCACAATCGTTGTTATGCTTGAGCCCACTGTTGCAGCCACTGTGTCAATCCATCTCATTGACGGTCTACCTGTAAATAAAGATTACAGCCTTGGAAACCCTATGGAGCAGTTCTACTCCGTCCTGTAGGGTCGCTATGAGTCAGAATTGATTCCACAGCACACAACAGCAGGCAGACAGTAAGGCCTCAGTCACTGTTGTCAGCGGCCATCAAGTTAATTCCGAATCTTGGCAACTCCATGTGTTACAGACTAGAACTGCTCCATGGTTTTCTTGGCTGCAGTCTTAATGGAAGCAGATCACCAAGCCTGCTCTTCCACTGTCCGGGTTTGAACCACCAACCTTTAGGTTATCAGTGGAGTGCAAATCATTTGCACCACCTAGGGCCCTTTGGTCACCGTTAGTGCTCATTTTCATTTAAAAAAAAAAAAAGAAGAAGAAGAAAGATAACAGTAACAATAATCAACATTTGTATACAACTTATGTGCTACAATTAACTCATTTAATCATCACTGTGACCTGGTTAAGCGAAAGGCTGCTAACTAAGAGGTTGGCGGTTGGAACATACAAGTAGCTCTGCAGGAGAAAAAACCTGGTGATCAGGTCGCATAAAGGTTGTTGTTGTGTGCCACTGATTGGGTCCGGCCTCAGAGCGACCCTACAGGACAGACCAGAACTGCCCCATCAGGTTTTCTAGGCAGTTCTATCCTGTCCTACAGGGTCGCCATGAGTCAGAATCAATCGACAGTACACAAGAAGAAGTCTGGCTCCAGAATTCTGTTCTCTTAACCACTAGAGGATGTTACCTCTCAACCCTCAACCTTACCACAACTCTGGCAGGGACACCACCACTCTCTTTGACAGGTGGGGAAACTGAGGCTCTACAGATTGAGCACTTTCCCAAGTGTACGAGCCCAGGTCATCCTGATTCCTCGCTCCCCTGCTACCCAGTTTACCATTACAGCCCCCGCACCCAGTGAGTGCTCACCTGGGCGCCGTGGCGAAGACGTCGGGGTGCAGCTCGGCCAGGCCCACGCGCTCCTGATCGAAGCCCCGCAGGGACTCCACCCAGGCCTGCATCGGGCGCCGGTGCGCGGGCAATGGGAGCTCGCACCTGCGCAACGCGGGCGCCGGGGGACCTAGCAGGATTGGGAGGTCAGAGGTGAGGGTCAAAAGTCAGTGCTCCCCGCTGCTGCCCTTCCTCGGGCGACCCTGGCAGCCTCACCTGCGCTCGCCACCCGCTCCGGCTCCAACGCCGGAGGCGTTGCCTCTTCCGCCAGCGAGTTCAGGCCTTGTAAACGGTGCGCGAGAGTGAAGAATGCCACCGGACCCCCCGGTCTTTGCCCTGCGACCCCACCCTCGGCTCCCGGCCTCACCCAGCAGCGGGCGGGCCGAGCCCATGCCCGCGCCCCAGCACAGACTAGCCGCAGCATAGCTGCGCCGTTCCCTGCGCCACGAGAGGTCGGGCTCCCTCCAGCCGCGCGCAGCGCCCTGCGATGACGTCACGCACGCGACACGGCCCGCCCGGCTAGGATTCGGGGCTGGACGCCTGGTGCGCAAGAGCGAGGGCGGCGAGGTCCGGCCTACCGTGACTCTACCTCTACCCCAGGACTGTTCCCTATACGCGTTTTCACTTCAGGCTTAAAGGACGGTCCGCGAGACCCGGGAATGCGACCCCAGAGCAAGACGCCCGGCCCCCTCCGTAGGCCTCGCCCCATCGGCTCTAGCCCGCACCAGGGCCGGCAAAAGAATCGCGTCCATGAGACCTGCGCGTACCAAAGGGCACGCTCCTTATTCAGCCAATCAGCGTTAAGTCCGGAAGAGTGGCCGGCCCACGGCTGGGCGGCGGGGTGGGGGCGGGCACCTAAGGGAATACAGCCAATAACGGTACGCTTTCTGTGTAGGCCACGCCCTTCGGGTCCCTCCCCCATATAACCTCCAAGGTACGTCCAATTAGGTGGATTTTTTTTAAGTTAAAGGGCTTTATCTCCCACGGAAAACCGTTGAAATTGGCCCTAAACGAACAAACAAGCCAACAACAACAACAAAAGCTGTTGTCCTGAGTGGATTCTGACTCATAGTGACACTAGAGGACAGAGTAGAACTGCCCCATAGAGTTTCCAAGGGTGTAATCTTTAGGGGGAGCCTTGGTGGCTCAGTGGTTAAGAGCTACGGCTGCTATCCAGAAAGTAGGCAATTCCAGTCTACCAACCGCTCCTTGGACACCCCATGAGGCAGTTCTACTCTGTCCTATAGGCTCGCTATGAGTCAAACAATAATCTTTAAGGAAGTTGACTGCCACGTTTTTCTCCTGTGGAGGGACTGGTGGGTTCCTCCAACCGACCACCTTTCGGTTAGCAGCCCAGCTTAATGGAATTGGGCTTGCCTCACGATAATTGGGATGCCCTGCAGGAGAGTTCATTTTAGAACCTTTAGATGTTGCTTTCTTCAGGCTGCATCTCTCGTGGCGCAGTGGTTAAGAGCTCTGCTGCTAACCAAAAGGTCGGCACTTCCAATCCACCAGCCGCTCCCTGGAAACCCTACGGGGCAGTTCTACTCTGTCCTATAGGTCGCTATGAGTCGGAGTCCACTCGAAGGCGATAAGTTTTCTTCCGGCTGCAGTCTAGTTCTCCAGAACAGGATGATGGCTCCCCTTAAGAAGCTCCAGGGCAGGGCAAGTGCCCCTCGCCCCCTATGGCAGAGTCGTGTCCTCTCCTTCGGACTACTCAGGACAAGTCCCTGTAACCCACAGACCCAAGGGTAGGGCTGTGCCCTCCCCTCACCCCCAGCCCTTCAGGGCAGATACACTCTCAGATCTCCCTGCTCAGACACCCCAGAGCACGGCTATGTCCCCCTCAAGCCCTTCAGCTTAGGTCCGTGCATCCCCCTGCTCAGACGCCTGAGGTTAGGGTCCTGTGCCCCTTTAGATCTCCCAGGGCTCTCCGGGGACAGGGCAAAGTGGGGAGCCCACAGATCCTGGACTTCCTCCCTCATTCCCCTCCCAAACAGAAAACCAAATGCTCATTTGTAGGTTCTTGGTCACATTCCCGGTGTGACCTACAGGGGACGCCACGAGCCCAAATCAGCCTTGTGGGTCCGTCCAGGCGGCCCACTTGGCAGCTGGTATAGTTTGACAGACTGCAAGTTTAGCGATTGTTCCTCAGCCAGCCTCGGTTTCCTCATCTGAAAAAGAGAAGGTTGTGAGACTTCATGAAATGACGGAGGCAAAGCATGCCATGCCTGGCGCATGGTCAAAGCATAATGAAAGAAGTACAGCCAGAATGCTCCTTAGAAGTGAGGATGGCGAGACTTCTCTCACATACTTTGGGCATGCTATCTATCAGAGGGACCGGTCCCTGGAGAAGGACATCATGCTTGGTAAAGCAAAGGGTCAACAAAAAAGAGGAAGACCCTCAACAAAATGGATTGACACCGTGGCTGCAAGAATGGGCTCCAACATAGCAATGATTGTGAGGATGGATGGCAGGACCAGGCAGCATTTCATTCTGTTGTACATATAGGGTCACTATAAGTCAGAACCAACTGGAGGGTACCTAACAAGAATTATTATTATTATTGACGGGGAGTTTTTGTCATCAAAACAGGCAAGAGGCAAGGCAGGAGTGGTGGGCCGGCCCTGGAGGATTTGAATGCTGTACTAAAGATGTGTTTTTTTTCTTTTTTACACATGATCTATAGCTTTGTATTTGCATTTTTGTGAACTATTAATACAAATTCACAATGTATTTCATTGTGTATTGGTGCAAGAATAACTGTGTATGTACGTTTAAAACACCATATACTTTGGAATTTAAAAATTCTTCATTTTGTAGAATTTTATTTATTCATTTTATGTCTTCAGAGATAATTCACCCACCTGGTCAGGAAAAATCCAAAAAGTACAAAAGGATAAATAGGATGAAAACTCCGTTTCTCCAAACCTTCTCCCCTGTCCTCCCTGTTCCCCTCCCAGAAGCCACCACCACAACCTGCTGTGCGTGACATTGCTCAGAACTGGTTTATAATTTTACAGGTAGATTTGCAAGTCTATCCTGTGCCAGGAAGTTTAGATTTTATGTGGTAAGAATGGGACAGCACTTATTTGCCTAATGATTTATTAGGCACCTAGTGTGTACCACAGGGACACTAATAAATCCAGCAGACACCCTTGAGAACATCATGGTCCAGTGCAGGAGGCTGAGGGACTCGGATGGGGGAGGGAGGTCTACAGGGTCTGTGGGATCCCAGGGGAGAAACCCCTAACCGGTGGCAGGGTGAGAGCCTCAGAGGGGATTTCCTTAAGGCTGTAACCTGAGAACTAAGGCTGAAGGGTGCAGCAGGAGTTTGCTGGGAGGAGAAAGTATGTTCCAAGACAAGGGAACAGCAGTTGGAAGGGCCAGGACTGGGGAGAGAGTTGGGGCGGGGGGCATAGCTGGATCTTTCTCACTCCACGTGCTTCACCCATTAGCTCATTCAACAGTACTATCTGAGAACTTTTGCACTGCTATTCCCTCTACCTGGAACATACTTTCCCCAGAGGGCCACATGGCTCACTCCTGCACTTCGTCTGATGCTTTACTCAAATGTCACCTCCTCAGAGAAGTCCACCCTGATCACCCTATTTAATATCTCAATCCCCACCTCTGGCTCTTCCAATCCCCTATCTGCTCCCCACCCCCATAGTGGTTATCTTTTAGCATTCTGTATTATTTCCTAATTTTTAAATGTATTTTGTCTGTCTCCCCCATTAGAGCATAAGTTTTCCCAGGGTAGGAATTTTCAACTGTCTTGTTCCTTTCTGTAGCCCTAGCACCCAGCACAGTGCCTGGAACACAGTAGTGCTCAATACACGTTGAGTGAATTCCTTCACTCATCATCCTATTACCAGAAACAGAGAAAGCACTCCATGTCCCCTGGGTCAAGGTCTTATGCCCTTGAGGTCAGCTCGGCACCTAAGATGCTCAATAAATGCATATTTACTGAATGGCGCTGGAGTCATGTAGACGCAGGTTCAAATCCAGGGACTACCATTGATTGGATGGGTGTCCTTGGGCAAGTGGTTTGTTCTTTTGGAACTATGGTCTTCTCGTCTGTAAGCAGGATACATACAAACCCTCCCCTAGTAGGGGGTAATGAGGTTTAGAATTCTCTCTCCTTCTACCTTCACCCCCCCCCAGTCTGTTTCCCCCACAGTGGGCAGAGTGCACCTGTGAACACCTGAGTCAGGTCACATCCCTCCTCTGCTCAGAACCTTCCATGGCTCCCACCTCACTCAGAGCAAAAGCCCAAGTCCTCCCCGTAGCCCACAAGGCTCTGCACAATTTGCCCTGTCACCTCTTTGCCCTTACCTCCTCCCACCCTCCCCTTCATCACTCTGTGGCTTCAGCCACACCGGTCTTCTCATCAGAACCCACCAATCACACTCCAGACTCAGGAGGTTCCTTCTTCCTGTAGCACCCTCCCCCCGGATTGCTACATGGCTCTCTGCCTTCCCCATCTCATTTATCTCCAGAACCCTCACTGTATTCAAATAGACAATGTTGTTTTCTTCTTTATCCTGTTTCTTGTCTTTCTTTCTCACTAGAACATCAGCTCCTTGAGGGCAGGGGTCTTTGTTTCTCTCGCTGCTGGGCCCCAGTGCTAAGAAGCAGCTGCTCAGTACATAGTAAATGAACAAATGGAATATTAGAAAGCCGTTTGCACCAGGCTCCCCCATTAGCGTGTTGAAAGAGAGTCTTAACAAAAGGGAGGTCATGACCTCAAGACCTGCATGCTGTGTGGCTCAAAGTCTGACTATTTTAGCCCAAACCTGGGTGGAGGGTCAAA